TGAAATTTGAGCTAGTTTTCATAAATAGTTTTCTCAACTCTTAATGTTGTGCACCTAGTTGGCTCCAGGTCATAGATGTTGTAAAAAAAGTAATTGGCCATGACAAAGATCATACTCAACTTCTTAGTTCCCAATAGTCCATAAAAGTAGGTACCATCTATTCCATGCTCAACCAATCTTATAGTAAAATATTTGTTTTGTTGCGCAGTCATTTAAATCATCCATGATCTACTACTTCCTAAAAAGGCTCATAACAAATGAGTCGAAAATGTTGGGGGTGCTTGAACGACATAGACACTTATGGATGCTCTCTTAATCCAAAGATTCACCTCATAAGTTTTGTGTACAATAACTTGTCTTGATTATTCATTTGAATCTTATTGACTTCACCAATTATGTAATCGAGATACAAATTGAGAATCAATAACTTATATTTCTTTTTAATTTTTATAGTGAACCCATGCTTTTTATTTGACAATGGTTGAAAAGAGAAGGTCTGAGACGATTGCCTTTGCGTCTCCATGAGTTTCGGTAGGGTCGTCACGCGATTAAAGGTGTTAATTATGGATTTGTTGTTGGATTGACTAGAGGTGACGACACTTGAAGTTTGAGCTCTTGTGAGGCTAAAGTGGCAACTTGTGATGAAGACAAAGTAGTGAAGGTAAAGTTGGATTGTGTTGTAATGCTCATTGGTGCTAACATCGTTGATCTCCATGTTGTCAAGTACCGATAACAAGAGAACACGTGGAAGATCCAATTGAAGAACTTAAATATCGCGAATCAAAGCTCTAGCAGAAATATGACTTAAAAGGGATTGACAAAAAGTTAGAACATGACTTAAAACTATATAGTTTCACTCGATGGGAACATAGTCACCCAAACCAACTTATTATTGGGGATATTTCTATGGAAAAGGTATACGTCGATTTAAGAAAGTAGCTACTTGAAGTTGGGGTGAAAGAATTTGATAGTGAGAAAATTTTTATGGGTCAATGTAAGTGCCATGTGTTATTTACATAATATTCATATAAATTAAAATAAATGATAGTATCATTCACATATGTTTAATGGAATTGGTTTTCTCTAACAACGAAAAATTAATTTATACATCTTTAAAAGTTGAAGTTTAATTTGATTTTTTTTTGTAGAAGTTGGGAGTGAAATCAAATATTTTAGACTTACTTTTTAATATTCACCCATATTTTCTATTTTCATATTTTAATTGTAGAATTTATTTTATTTACGTAGCGCACGTGCGTAGTCGGCACGTGTTATGAGTACTTTCAGGCTTTCCTTCAGAAGTGTATCTTTATCCACTTCATGTTTTGTCCTTTTATGCCACCGGTACATCCAACCAAACCAAACACCACTCTCTTTAAAGACAAAACCAAGCTTGATCTGCACGTAGCGAAAACCCAGACTGGAGCTAGCATTTTTTTGTTTTTAAATCTAATGCTGGATTGCGTGTAGCAAAACAGAATCTATCCATTTTTTTAAGTAGCGAGGTATGACTATTTACAGCAATCTCTCCTTCAATCTCTCTCTCTCTCGAGAAAGAATCTAGGGTTTTTACGCAGTGAATCTTGCTTCCCAGCTGCTGGGTAAGAGAATCTCCAAACTGTTTGGCTTACTCCTTGTATTTGAAAAGTTCAATTAGGGTTTTAGGGGGGCGAGGTGTGTGTTTGTCTTCACCTTCTTTCATTACGCTTGGGGTTTTTCTCTTTCCTTGCGTACCTACACGCATTTCTTTTCATAGGTTTTTAAGGTTTCTTGACTAATTGTTGACTCTGCTGGGTTTCTTATGTAGTTATGTATGAATGCGAGAAGCATGTACCTATACACGTCAGTACTGTATGTATACACGTGTCTGCTCTGCTGTAATCTGTTATTCTTCCTCTCAGTGATTCTTTGTTCGTGAGTTTAACTTCGTATGGTTTCAAGTCTTTTACGGTTGTTAAATATTAGCCTTTTGTTTGGTAGCTTAGAATTCTGTAGGTAATTAAAAGTTTTTCAATTAATTGTACTTTTCGTGCTATCTGGTTTCGAGATTTCATGTCGCATAAGTTGATCATTTGAAGTTACTTCTCTTCATGGGTTGAATAGGTGAAGTCATCTTCTGTTTGAATATCTGCGTGCCAGAAAGATTATAATCGGAAATATGAACTATAACTTCTTCTTCGCCCGGAAAGTGTTTTGTTTTTAGTGTTTTTGGACTTCTGATTATATTTCCATTTGCAAGGGTGCGTTACATGTTGGCCTTTTTATTAATTGAAAGTGAATGAATTTTTTGGTTTCTTTTCAGAGTACCATGAATTATTTTGTGAGGTACTAGTGGCTGAGAGGGGGGAGTATCATATCCTTGTATAATGGCTACAGAGAGTCCAATTAGAATGCCGGAAGCCAGTCGAAAATGGCCAAATCACAAGGAGACTGCATCTTTTGTAACACCAACTGCTAATATGGCGGCAGAGGAGTTAGTATTGCTTAGGAAGAGTCCTATCGTTCATGGGAATGGAAAGGATACAGTTCCTAATCGAAGTGGGAGTGCACCCCCTAACATGGAGGGCTCGTTTTTGGCTATAGATAACCTCCTGTCACAGCAGAGCTTTAGCATGAATTCTAGCTTGCCAAGTCTGAATGGTGCTGCCGATCGGTCGTATTTAGCCTATTATCGCGCCAATGTCAATCTGAACCCTAGAATTTCTTCAGCACGGATCTCAAGGGAGAATCAGCATCTCATGCACCATATTGGTGAGTATGATAATAATTGGGGATTCACTTCAGTAGACGATGGTGGTAATGGTTCCTTGCGTTTGTCTCAAGGTGCCCTTTCTACACACAAGGAAGAGTCTGAGGATGATTGCTCTCCGCAACAGTCCCCTGATGGTATTTTGGATCAGACAAATCGGTTTTGGGCTGGACATAATGCAGCTCATTTGGCAGGCCAACAGCATAATTTGGTTGATTTCATACAGGTAAGAACCTTGACAGACAATATGTTCATGAATTGCATTATTTATACTTCTGGTTTTCAATGATGAATTTATTCAAATTTGTTTGTAAATTGAATCTCCATTACGAGGTTTATTCTTTTGGTTTTGAATGATGAATTTATTCGTAAGTTAGCAGTGTTCTGACATCTGGAACTCTTATGCTTGTTGGTGGGTAATTGAGTTGATAGGAAGTTGCCACTAACCTTTTCATTTTTCTTTCACATTGTTGGCCGTAATGCATAGTCCTGTTGCAAATTTACAGAGATGTTCCCACACTCGTCACTCTACTAGTCACTCTCATCTCAAGCTA